GTATGTATGTATGTATGTATGTATGTGTGTGTGTGTGTGTGTGTGTGTATGTATGTATGTATATCGCGAACTACGAACTGTTAACGTCTTCCAGCTGAAAAACTAGCTGTTATTTGTCGAAAATTATACTGAAATCCAACTGTAAACATGTACCTACAGATGGCGAAGTGCGCGCGCAAAACAAGTGCGAGATACGCAAATGTTTTACTTACTGGGGAGGTGACGTGAAAAAATGTAACGCGCACCGTAAAAAGTTTCAAAAAGGATTGATAACTTTAAAAAACGCGTGGTTACCCCTATATTTTATGTTATGAAATGGAGGTGGCAAGCCTATTCAGCACGTGATGAGTTTCTGGTTGTGAGCAAAAGATATTTAGACTGTATTTTAGCTGAAACAGAGGAAGGCTGTCAGGGACGCTAAAAGTGCTATTGCAACGATTTTGTTACTAAAAGCATACCAAAAATGGTTTTTATCAGATCTTTATAAGTGTGTCTGCTTCTCTGTATGTAAAGGCGAATTCTGAGGAAAGCTGTGAAGAAGTATCCTCTCCTTCTATTTTCAGAAAAATGCAGATGTCAGCATTTTTGTTGAGATGCAAGGCTAATTATCTCGGAAAAAAATGCGTGGCTACCCCCTTTTTCCTTTGTGTATTCCGATAGCCCTTGCAAAGATCTACTTTTTCCGCGTGGTCCTACCCTGGCGCAAAAACCTCACGGTATTTAGTAGGCACCCTCCTGAAAGTCAAACCATGACGTCACGAAAACGCGGCCTGGCTGCTTAGTACATTTCAAAATGGCGGCAACGATGTTCGAATTTTGGGCTTCTTTGGAGACGAATTTATGGAAAACCTGCACTTTAGAGGCTCAAACTTCGGTGAGTGGCTAAACTTAATGAAAGGTTTTTATTAGCGTTGACAAGAAACAGACGTTTTTTGGAGTAACCTTCTCCTTTAAGTCAAGGAAAGCTTCTCAACTCGAGGGAATTTTTTATGTTATTAAACGAACTAGTTTAATTGTTTCACTACATAGCTGCTATTATATTCAAAAGGAAACTTTTAACTACATTCCTAGATTTGTTTTCTTTATTTTATTCTCATATTTGATTGACATTTCTATTCGTTGACGGAATGACAACTTTTGAGTATTTTTCCCTCATAGTAAAAGTAAAAGTTGACAGCTAACACCTACAGTACTCTCCCTAGTGTCTGTTTGACAGAAGTGTCCGCTTAATTAATTGCTTTGGTTTACTATGGACATTTAGTACAGGGTCTCCGCTCAATGATTTGACCTCTACTAAAACGTGTTTCACTGTGCTGAACTGCGAACAGTTTCTAAGTGGACTCAAGCACTCAATATGTTGCAGTAATGGTGATTTCTGTTGTTTCAAATCTGTACCGATTTTCAGCTTCGAACTCAGCAAATTACCGCAGACACATTGGTACAGTTTTTAAGAGTAATCTGACATATGCAGTACGGGAGTCTTGGAGAGGAGCCGGCAAATGTTTACTGACACAGACTCCGAGAGAACGTACGGCAGTTGTATAACAAACAGATTTGACTGAACTTAAAATTCCAAGTTGGTAGTTCTGGACTCTATATTTGTTTATTTTTAATTGGGTGTGTGTGTAAAAGTAACGTGACTTGGCTTAGTATGAGAGGTGAATGTCCCAGTGATGGGCTCTTGGCTGTTTATCAGAAAAAAAAAGTTAAGGGTGAGGTACAAATCGCCTTTTCCAAATACCCTGATGTCATCCAGTTTTTGAACAAACATATTAACAGCAAATCAGTAACTGAGTTAATAAAAATCTACAAATGTGGACCCAAAATATTAACCCTTTTATTCAGGACGGAATTTTACAAAACTCTTCATTTGCTCTGAAAAGTTAATCACAATAACCCCAGGGGGAGGGCACTTTAATGTGATGGAGGTGCTAGCTCAAAAATCTTCGGAAAATCCCCCAAATCTTCGGTGCCAGAACCTAAAGTAATTTTTTAGGATTGGCACAAGGACATGTAACGCATAAAGGTATCAATGTAAACTCTTTCACGGACCAGTGATTGACAGTGAATGACACTGATTGACTTAGCCACGTATCAAGGAGGCAACTTAACACCTGACCATGATATGTGGTAACTGAAATGGAGACTGAACAAGAGCAAGCGTCCCCTTGAGTGAAATCTATAAAGACCATCCCTAGGGATGCTTTTGCTATCCAGAACTCGTAAAAAAGAGTGTGTTTTAATTTTTTTTTAACATTTAGAGCATTTTTCATTATGATTGAACAATTCGCAGTTTTAAACAGATATACATCTTTTAGAATAAACAGCGATTAATAAATACACCTGAAACTACAACAGATGATGTTGTTTTGGAAAAATCCCGTGCAGTGGAACCTCGAAAAAACGAGGGCCAAGAGACTGGCAAAATATATTTGATAATTTGTTTGCTAATTCAAGGTTTTAAATTTTAATTCTACTGGGGCGGAGAAAATTGTTCGTTATACCGAGGACTTAGTTGAATAGAAGTTTGTTAAACGAGGTTCCATATCGGCGCTTATCAGAAAAATTTTCTTCCCAAAAATAAGATGTCGATCTTAGTAATCGTCGCCATGCACTTGTTGTTCCGAATAGACAACCCTTATTCGTTAATTCTTCTTTCATTATACATAACAATCCATGGAGTTCAACTGATTGCTTTTGTAGCACGAGAGAGAAGTAGCAATTTTGTAGTGCGCGCCTCCTCCTGGGCCCGAACAATCGTATCATGAAATAATTATTATCCTAGTTAATCCAAGTTGAATAGAACTTTGTAGTAACAATCTGATCAAAATCAACAAATATACCCAACGTGGTTGTCATTGCAAAGCCATTAATTAAGGCGTATTCAAGGTTTTCATAACAGCGTTTTTACATATTAGTTATTCTGGAATCTCCGGCTTGAACAAAATTTAGTTTAAGTGGAATAATTCCGGCGAAAACGGTTGATTGTTTTATCGTCACTTGTGACGTCATTCACGCCTGGCTGACTGTTGTGACAAACATCACCCACATACGTCACATCGACGTGTTTTCCTTTTTCTTTCCGGATGACAAATCTCACTTTCACGTTACACTCTGGTCGCTTGCATTCCGCTCCTCCTCTGAAGAACACCGCTGAGTGGATTTTCCGCGAGTTTTCTGATCTCACGTGATTATTCTTGAAGCGCAAACTGCACCATGGGTTGCTTTCTTTAACTTTGCTGAGGAAGATTCGAGTCCAGTCCCCACTCAACAATCGACCACCGCTCGGAAACGTCTTGATTGGAATTCTCTCCCACTCCTCTTTCGTCAACTTAAATCTTGCGGTTGCTCCATCGATGTTCTGTCGAAAGTACTTTTCTTTTCCATTTTCGCCATCATCGTCAGATGAGTCTGAATCCATCGCGTACTCCTGCAACATTTTAGATAAGCTCTTATAGAATGATATAAAAATAAATGCTACACCTTAATGCTTATATGATCCTGAGCCTATATGGAGAAAACAAACTTTTGTAGTTGTAATTCTTTCCTGACCGATCCGGGCCGGGGAGGGGTGGGGGGACTACGCTTTCCACCCTGAAAACTATTTGGCGGCTGATTACCAAACTGGCAGTGAATGATGATGTTTGACCTAATTCCAACAATGAAGCTTGTGTACTTTCTTTGGCAACAAAAATTATCGTCACTTCAGCGTGAATTTTTAGATTTACTATCTTGAATTCCATGATTTTTTCATACAAAATTCAAGATCACGCAAAATTGATAAACTTATTTCGAGATGTGCTAAAAATCGACTCGGGTCCAGTCAAAACCGAGCAGCACCAACTGAAGAAGAAAACGCTCATGCCACTTCTTGATAACACTAAATTTCGGCGAGCCATCCAAACCTGTTTCAAGATATATCTCAGTCGAAAGAGGAAAAATAGTAAAATTTAAGCTGAAACGTATAAGTCCGCCCACCTCTCCTCCTCTGTCTGGGGTTGATACTCTGATTCATTGGGGTTAAACACTAACGAAACACCTACCATTCGATCGGCTACGCTCTCCCTGTTTGACAAGTGTTCATCAGAATGAAGCTTGTAGGTCGTGGCATCAACCTGCTTTAGAGAGGAACAGGATAAGCATGCTGGCGCTATTAAGGGATCATGCATTTCGCCTTTCAATTATCTGTTACAGATGCCCAAGGGTACGAAGAGGATTGAGTGAGTGAGTTATCTGTTATACTTTTACAAGACGATTACATGAAATTAAGTCTCTGACCGTCACATATTGTATTAAATCATCGGTTTAACTTCCTATGGTTAGGAGCTCTTCACAAGCCAACAAGACTTTGGATAGTGAGGCTTGATAGCTACAAGATAAAGAAGGATTTGTTATCGTTTCTTCCACTGTAACAAAGTTTAGGATCAATCGGAACATCGTTTCCGGTACATTGATACTAAATGCAGCTGAACGTCAGTCCACTTAGGATACCTATCCTGGGCAACCGTTTTTGACAAGGTCAGACACTTCATTTGCGTGTGGTTCATCACTCAATTCTAATTGGTTGGTAGCTAAGGGTTACCAGCCACTCCCCCTCCGCGATCATGGATGCCTTAGTGGACATGTCTGGTCTCAAGGCTTTCCACGCATGAGAAATTAAGAAATCAAGACAAAATGATTCAGGGATGCACCTGTCTGGGAGGTGATGCATAATCGCTTTTTAACAACATTCAAGAGCCTGTCTGTATTTGAACAGAAATGACTTGCTCATTAAACAAGCAAATGAGACAGTCATCTCTAAAAACTCCGTAGCAGCATCCTACATTGTGAAGTTACTGAGCAATAACTGCTTGTTATGTAAAGTTCTTTACCTTTAATGGCAAATGGGATCTTCCAGAATCACCGCTGCTCCAACTCACAGGAACCATGATAACTGAAGGTCGTTGGTTTTTCGGATTAAAAGCATCATAGTGATGGGATTCACTTTGTGCATAGCAACTGCAGCTACAACTGCAAGCAATCAGATGGCGATTTGGAACCATGCTATGCTTTTCAGTTGGCCAGAATAGCATTCCTTGCTGAAAATCGTTAAAACTGTTGTAATCATAGTATTTTGACATTCCTGGATGGTAATTTGCCTGATGACTCGTATTCTTTTGACCATCTTGTGCTTGGGCAGTGGTTATTTCCTCCATGTGGTGAAGTGGCACTGTGCCATTGGAACTCATATGAAAACATGGAGGTGTCACGCTGGCACTGGCCTGGTGAGATGACACACTTACGGGATCACCATTCTGGGGGTGAGTATATAATGCCTTTGCTGAGTTAACATGGTAGGCTGATATCGAGCCGTTGGTACTCATTTGATAAGCTGACGATTGGAGATAATTACTCGGCTGCGTCAAAGCTGGCGGCTGCGGGCTAAGATGGTAAGATGAAAATATCTCAGGCTCGCGGGAATTAATTTGGGGAGCCAGTTTTTTCCGTATCCCTGTTGTCGCCGTTAATGGTTCCCCATTGAGTATACTTGACTGATTTACTGAACATGGCACATCAGAATCCACTTGATACCTTTTCTTTTCGGTAATCATGTCCTTGGAAAGCCGTCTACCAGGAAAACGCTCTGTGTATGGAAATTTCGTTTGAAGGTCAACTTCACATCTTGATCGTTTTCCTCCCGATTTGTCCACGTGCTTCGCTATCTGATTAACGTTCATCAGCTGTCCACTACGAAAACGTTTTACCAATGGAATTTCTCTTTGCCTGGCAACGTGAAAAGCTGACTGCATTTGCTGGTTGCTCAGTTTGTCCGTGTCCTTTTGTCCGTTTTCTTTCTGATTAAGGAGCACCTTATTCTTTGCTTGATCAGCTGTTGCTCCTTGGACGTTACTTATTTTGATGTTGAGTACATCTTCTTCGGTAGTTATCTTCCCGCGGGATCGTACTTCATATATTGAATCCCGTGGCAAAGAAATTGTTTGGTGACGGACTGTTTTGCACAATGGCTCAGATATTTCTACCCTTACAACAGAAGTCTCGGATATGGAGATCGTTTGGTTGTTATTTGTCTTATTCTCTGGCGTTTTTATCTTCGTACTGGCACCTGCAATGTCGTTTAATGAGTACATTTGGGTTACCAATTGTGATAGGACAGATTTCAGCAGTAATACTCCACTGTCACAGCTGAACAGAAAGGCCAAGGAGGTGTGATGCTGGTTCTTATTTCAACTGAAAACGTAAATGGGAAAAGAACCAGTCAAGAGGTATCCACAAAATCAAAATGCTATACACGAGAAAGCTCCAACTGGTACGTGCATATCCACCACATAAGCTGTTGCTTTAGATTAGATTTAAGAAATCTGCGTCAATGAAAAATTCGTTCCTTAGCATCAGTGAACAACGTTTGTTTTCATTTTCCGACTCCTGTGGCCCTACAAATCATACAGTGAGTTCAAAAGGAAGATAAGAGGGCAGGTAACTTCTGTATACGACCCAAGTGTCCCATCAGGCCGGAGCTCATGCCGGTTTCTGTAGCATGAAGCGACTAGGAATATTTCTACTCACCCTGGATGGGATGCTAGTCCATCGAAGGGTTACCCTCAGCAAACAATTCGGCGGTACTCATTTGTACACCTGGGTGAAGAGAGGCACTGTGAAAGTGTCTTGCCCAAGAACTCGACACAATATATGTCCCAGCCAGGGATCGAACCCGGACCGCTCGATCGGGAGTCGAGCACACTAACCATGAGGTTACCGCGCCTCCCACATAAGATAAGAGAGTGAGGGGGGAGAAAAGATTGATATTCCCCCTTAAAGCAGTTGAAAAAAATGAACTGCTTTATTTTTATTTTTACCGTTTCATCATTTATACTCATTAGCTATTGTCCATATTGTCCTATACTTCCATCACCATATTTACATCTATTGTCCTTAATATATTCTATCATTCGCGTCACCTACACAACTCTTATATCACGCACTATGGAATATTTTCTTTCATTCCCTGATGATGCCGTAGAACGGCGAAAGCTTGGAATTGAAATACAGCACTGTAGCTCAAGGCCTCAATTGAATCAATATATTTATCCATTCCGATATGCTACTGAAGGACAACTTCAAACCTTGTCTTGGCATAATGAGGATTGTTTATCAGCGAGAGCAATCATCGAAACGATACCCAGTGATGAGAGACTTGGTCTAGCTATTCTCTGATTTTTCCATCGGAGACGAGCTGCACTAGTTGTCAAAATGTAAACATTTATTGTTTTCTCATTTCGGAACGGTTCCGTAATGGGCCACGTTCGATATCTCATTATTCTAACATGGTTCCGAGGCTCTGTATTTGGCATTGTTTTGGGAATAAAGAAACAAAAGAAACTTAGCAAATTTGCCATTTTATGTTAGACTGATTTGAATATATCGAACGTGGCCGATTAGAAGCAGTTTTGTTAATCTCACTTGTACGGCGCTATTTTCCTATAATATGGCTGTGTGATGAGAACATTATAACTCTAAGTGCCGTATGTGTCAAATATATTTTAAGCTGTTATTTAACAAATAGAAAACATTTTCTTTCTTTATCGAGTTATAGAAGCACGCGTACAAAGGCGTTGGGTAGTTTAAAGTTTGAGAGAATCTCTAGAAAGCTGTGGAAACAGTCGCCAGCTGCGGGCTCGTATTCTCACAGCATTCAGTCTCGAGTTTTCCCAAACCTGCACCTAGTAGAAACAGAGTAAATATTCTATTTATTTTAGAAAACGCGGCAAGAAAGAAGGCAAAGGATAATCGCTCTTTTCTTTCAATTATCAAAATATAGTTCTCTCTTCTCTCGCTATCATTTCGTCAACTCGTGTTAGTTCTCTCTTCCCATGGAGCTTTAAGTAAATTTCTGCTGGTACCAAATTATGCAAACACAGACCGCAATCTGATCGGTTACCCTAGTGGCTAGAGTCAGTGGCGACGTCATTTTGTTTTCCCAATTTTTCCTAGGAAGATGAAGAAATTTTGTTGGATTATTTCATTCACCCAAAAAACTAAAGGAAAGACTCTCACTGTTACGCAATTTCAAACGCCCACAATCGTTGAATGAACTAATGAGTTCGTATGCACAGCTGCAAGTTTCAAATGACAATTCAGTCCCCGCGCGATTTCGCTAAAGCGTGAAGTTTGATAATTGAAAATTGTTTTTCAAAGGACTTCTAGTTAGAACACTACTAGAAATAATTACATTGTTTTCTTTCTTTTTCTAGGAGGAGATAGCATGATCCGGCATTTGGTCTCAACAACAAGTTAAATAGGAGTACGGTTTTTAGCAAGTGCTTTCTTAAAAATGGCTTTTGCCTCAAGAACTAAGATTTCGAAACATAGTTTTTCTAATCTATTGTTACTGTGGAGTAGAGCTGAAGTCTTCAATTTGAAGATAAAATCAATAAAGGCACCAGAGAGATGTTTGGGTCGTATTCTTGAACAATGCAAACAATCTGAGAGGCTGGCATCGCATCGCAAACTAGTTGCGTTTTGTTTTTAGTTAACGGAGCGAACAAATAATTGTGCAACAAAGGGAGCAGTCTTTCACAACAAAAGGGCAAATAACAATAACGGGAGCAGTTGTAAATGTATCATAATTCTCTCTTTCAAATTTTGAAATTTGACTCGACGATGTAACATGATCTAGCAGTAAATCTCACTCGCCTTTGTGAGACCGAGGGCGACTCGTGCAGGGCTATGGTACCGCTTTTGTAGAGTTTTGAAAGAAATGTCGCACAGCTCTGATTAATTTTTAAGGAACTTTGTGTAGGTTGACAGTTTTAGGACGTATGAAACCTGATACCTTGTCCACAAAAACGAGGAAAAACTTTCCAGCAGGTTAAGTTAGCATTGTCTTCATGTTCTTTTGTCCGCCCGTATCGTTAAAGTAAAACGGAAAGCTTTAAGAACTAATTATGCAAATTTTTGTCGTTGAAGAGAATAATATGGTAGTATTCGGCTTACATATACAATGTCAGTTAGAAGATATCCTAGTTGATACTGAAACCTATCCTTACTACGTTTGAAAAAGAAAATGAGTCACTGAGATGCTTACTTCACGTGTAAAACTATTAAAGAAAACTTTCTAAAGGATCAACTTCACCATTATCATGTTAATCGTATTTGAAGTTACACACAAAGGAATAAAAATTGTGTGCCTGGATCACGCAACAACATCTGGAAAGAGCATGTTTTCCAGAAAAAAAAACGAAGAAAAAGAAGAGTAAAAAAAATAAATAAAATGAATCACATCGTAGACTGGACACTTCCAGTCAACCTAATAGGCCACCAGCTCTAAGAAGATTAGTTTTGGAAAATTTGTTTTCGGTTTTAACAAGGTCAAAATGCATAGTCTCGGGGCATTCCTAACCGTAATACGTGTTACCACGGAGTTAGTCAAGAAACCATTATACGTTATCACATAATACGCAACTGACTCCTCGAACACGATGTTTGGACTGAAAAGAAAGATTATCTTTGTGAAAGAACCCACCGTCAGTTAAGAACCTTCGAAAAATATGATACGGATCGATTAATGGCATGTTTTTGTATAAGTTGTAAAAGGCGACACAATACACTTAACGTATTCGAGTGTGAATATGTTGATAACGTGAAGAATCTGCCGTCTCGACCAGGTTCAATACAACTATCCTCTCCCTTCGTTCCCTAAATCTTCTGATGACTAGTCGTGAAGCGCCCGACCAGACAAGGGCAATCTGGATTATGGCGAATGCCCTGTTTCCGACAGCACATTAACATGCAAAGAAGACACCTATTGTGTTAATGAGTATCACAAAATTAAACAAGGTTTCGAGGCACGCCGTGTTTTGAAAATTAACATCCTCTACCGATAAGGACGAAATAAAGAGCAACGATTATTGTGAATACCTTCACACAGAAACTACTCTGGCCGCTTTTTCATTGGCAAGCGCTGACAGGTCAATACGAATCCATGAGTCATTCCGCCACTACAAACCATTCTGCTGAGCTTTCTGTCAATACTGGCTTAAAAATCATCTGAATCTGAGGAATTTGACCTCATAAAAAAAGGTCTTTTGATTTTAGTTCTAACTTGATAGTTTAAGTTAGGTTCCGAGAGTTGCGAGGAAGTTTCTAAACTCAGTTCCACTTCTGATTTAACACGTCCGGCACATTTGATCACTTGGATAAAAAAAAAAAACCTTATTACATAATAGCACAATCAACAACATAAACCCCGGGAGCAAATTTCTAGGAATTAGAGTTGTACAAAGGTAGCCAGAGTTGATTTTCGAAACAAAAGTTAAAGAAATAATCACAGATGCTTCAAAAGCGTTAACTCACCTTTCAAGTATTAGAGAAGGTTGTTGCCACATGCTTGAGTGCGTTGTATCATAGTTAGTGGTTTGTATTTATTTATCGTGTGATTTCATGCATGCGCAGTGGGTAGTCTGCAGAAAGTCAATCACTGTCGGCCACCTCAAAATGTTGTTGAGTGATAATATAGAGGATCTGAGGAATTGAACGGATAGATAGTGCTATATAATGTCTACTTTATAGAGCTTTCTTACAAGACTGAAATCCCCCACAGAAATAAACATTCAATTTATCTTTAAGATATAATTGACGCTTCAAAGCACAAACGGTACAGAGTACCGTCTTTTTGCAGACAAAATATATGATTTTCGAATTTTATCCTATCAGAGTCAGCTTTCATTGTAACAGCTTTGCTGTGATAGAGTTTCGTTATTCATTTGTATCTGATACCTGACGTACGACGACGTTTCATTCAAATTTTTTTTCCACTGGCTTCGTCATAATAATGAGACACCAACCGCTTAATTAAATTTGACGTTTGCAGGTAATAAATTCTACGCGCTATTTTGTCCTTTGAAAGTGGGATGTGAGCTAATTATTATTACCTTCCGGTGAGGGGGCGTGTCTGGAGCGGATAATTGGACTGGGCGGCCATAAGTAGAAGAACACATGCACGTATAAGCAGCCCAAGTTGATTTTCGTAGAAGTGTAGGCTAAATCATGCAAATGTTGGCGTGCGAGCAGGCCCTCCACGGGGAAAGAGAAAAGGAGGGGAAAGAAAAGTGCTGTGGCCACACAGGCAGCGGCTTTCGATCCACAGGATCGCAAGAATCGCTACAAAACCACAACAAAACGCAAGGCAGGCAAAAGGACATAGCAAATGGTAAAATAAAGTATGTTAACAGGAAAGCCATTGCATTCGGGCAGCTTTTCACACTGGAAACGGCATTGGATATTTATGACAAGGGATTTATAACTCCAAAATGCTCCAAAACCCGTATCAGATTGTAAAAAGTGAAAAATATGAAACTTTTTGTGTCGGCTCGTCAAATGTCGCCAGGTAAGATAATATTTGTGTTATTTTGGATAACATTTGTCGTTCCTCGTCAAATTAAACACGGAACAGTTTTCGCGTTAAGTCTTACAACAGGCCAAAGCAACCTTAGCATCGTCTTTATTTTCGTTAGCTGCGCAGAAGAAGAGTATTATCGTGTCGTTTCGGAAGGACAGCTTGGTTCTAACTGCCTCTCGTACTGCGGGCGCAGCCGCCGCGTGCACCGTATTCAAAACCAACATACGTAAGACGTACCCGGAAACTCTACTGGATGAGGGATGCCGTAACTGCGGTCCGCAATAATTAATTTTAATACTTTTATTTTTTGAAAGTTCTAAATAGACAAAAAAATTTAAATCATTATTAAAGTTTGTAACTTGTAAATAGAATAATTTTTAAATTATTCTAAGCTCCCGGTTTTATAATGTCTTTTGAGGTAGGTGTCTTCTATCAGTAGAGGATAATCCCTCGGCTAAACAATCTCGACACATTAATAAAGTTATTATTATTATTATCATTATCATTATCATTATCATTATCATTATTATTATTATTATTAAATAATTATTAAATAATAACAATTTTATTGGGCTCATGAAAATTTTTCACTAAAACTTTACATGATAATTATTTACAGCACAAAATTATGTACAATAATTATTCTATTAAAATCATTAAAAAATGAAGCAAAATGTAGTTCACCGAAATGAACAAAATAGAGAAAACCTGAGAATTGAAATGACTTGTTTAAAATGTCACAGAAACATAGCGAGAGTATTTGTGGTTTGCGTCTTCGATTATACGCGAGAAGTAATAAAAAAACAAAAGAAATTTACTCTCACAATTTACAATACACATTGTACCATTTATGGAATCTTACTCGTCCTCGCATGAATACTACTAACAGTAAAAAAATACTATATAATTATATATTATTATTATTTTTTTTAATATTAGTAATAACAAGAACTTTATTGAAATCTCCTTAGAAAACCTATTTACAAATCTTCA